CACCCATATGGAACCCCTGCATTGCAGGCAGCAGGTTTACCCGCTAGACCTCAGTATTGGCCCCACAGGCCATTCTTTAAGCCCTCAAATTCATCAGGTTTTGAGGTCTTCACAATTATTTACTCACTATATAATTTACTTATAATTATATAATTATAATTATTTATCTTGCTATATAATTTATCATGATATTAATAAATAGGTATAACATTTATTTATATAAAATATAGATATACAATTATCTACCTTCCTTTATACCTGTCTCTGTAGATCAAGTACCATGTCTTTATACCAAATTTATGTAGGGTCTTCAAAATAATCATGGAAATTAGTATCATGAAAAAATGATACATAGATTTCATTTTTTTGCAACAAAATAATCATCATTTTCTTCAATTTGCCATGAACTTTCTAAAGTACCCTTGTGGATATAGACACATGATGGTGAAGAACTCATATATATATATATATATATACACACACATATAAATATTTATGTATATATATACACATATATATTTGTTTGCAAACTGTGCGGCTGATAAAGGATGAACATCCAGAATCTATAAAATGTTCAAGAAATTCAACAACAAACAAACAATCCAGTTAAGAAATGGTAAAAGGACTTGAACAGACATTTTTCAAGAGAGGAAATTCAAATGGCCAACAGACACTTGAAAAATGGTCATGATCATTAGCCATCAGGGGAATGCAAATATAAACCACAGTCAGGTTTCACTTCATTCTCTCTTACAGAAATATAGAAACAGAAAATGCTGGCAAGGATCTGGGGGAAAAGGTACCCTAATCCACTGTTGGTGAGAATGTAAACTGGTGCAGCCACTGTGGAAGACAGTAATGAGATATCTCAGAAATCTGAATATATCACTCCTGGAATTTACCCAAACCAAAAGATATCAGTATATGAAAGTTATTTGTACCCCTATACTCATTGAAGCACAATTCATAATAGCTAAGATATGGAGTCCATCCAGATGTCCATCAACTGTTGCCTAGATAAAGAAAATGTGGTATATATACACTATGGAGTACTACTCAGCTGTGAAAAAAAATGAAATCCCAGCTTTTACAATAAGATGGATGCAAGTGGAAACCATTATACTTAATGAAATAAGCCAATCCAAAAGAGACAGATATCATATGTTTTCCCTGATCTGGAGTAACTAATAGAGTACCTTAAATGTAATGTATTGGAGTGAAATGAATATTTTGAGATTCAATGATTGTTTATAGTCCTTGTCTCTCTTGTTGAGAACAGTGTTTTTTTTTTTTTCTTCATATTATTTGTTGAACTCTTTTACTTAGTGTAGGGTTAACTTTATGATTATTAAGTAAAAAGATCATTTGTAAAAATTAAGACTGGGAATATGAGAGGGAGGAAGAAGAAGGATTGGCGTGTGGGCGAGAGGAAGAGTAGGGTTGGAAGTATCAGTATGTTCCTAAATCTGTATATATGAAATATATAAAACTTGTACAATTTAAATAATTTAAAAAAAAGAAGTGAAGGAGTGAGGCTTGGATATTCTGTAACAGGATTACAAGTATCAGAAGCAACTGAATTAACTACTGTGCCATGTGCCCTCTGCCCTTCAAAGCTTCTGTTGTTGCATGGAGACACTATTTCAAACCTACCCCTATGCAAATTACAACCTCATCTCTCAAGACCCATTTATTTCTTTTTCTTTTCTTTTCTTTTTTTTAAGATTTTATTCATTTCTTTGAGAGGTAGAGTTACAGACAGAGAGAGGGACAGGGAGAAAGATGTTCCATCAGCTTATTCACTTCCCAATTGGCTACAATGGCAGGATTTGGCTGATCTGAAGCCAGGAGCCAGGAGCTTCCTCAGGGTCTCCCATGTGGGTGAAAGGCCCAAGCACTTGGGCCATCTTCCACTTCTTTCCCAGGCCATAAGCAGAGAAGTAGATCAGAAGAAGAGCAGCTGGTACATGAACAATCACCCATAGGGAATGCTGGTGCTTCAGGCAGAAGCTTAGACTACTACGTCACAGCGAGCCCCCCGCCCCATTTATTTATTTATTTTAGTTGTTTCACACCAAAATAATGGTGTTTGTTCTTTACCCAATGATTATTTTATAGGTCTTTATAAGTTATTATTTTAATTTATTTTATATTATAGATGCTGCCTTAGTCCATTTTGTGTGACCGTGACAAAATACCCAAGATTGAGTACTTTATAAGTAAATAGGTCTATTTAGATTGTGATTCAAGTAGTTAGAAGACTAAACACCAAGATCCTGGTATCCTGGTAAGTGTCCCCTTTGTCTGAATCGCAATGTTTTGGAGAAAGAGAAAGAGAAACAGGCACTTACAGAGGAGAGGCGCTTGCAGAGCACGTGGAATGGCCTCACTTTGTTACAACCTGCTTTTGTGAGAACAAATTTATTACTTTGAGATTCAACCTATTTCATTAACCCACCCAGGAGGGGGGATCTTCCAGGGCTCCATGACTTTCTACTCAGCCCCACAACTTAATAGTTTTCACTAGCTCAACAACCTCTTATGCTGGGAACCAAGCTTCCAGCATAAGAACTTTAGGGGAGATAATTTATACAGACCACCGCAGATGCTGACAACTTTGTCAATCGCATAATTTTAATCATTTGCGAACCAGGTTCAATATCCTGTTTTTCTAAAACATGACTCTTTGACATATCTGGGAAAAGTTGGTTCTCTGTAGTAACATATACTCTCAGATTCGCTGCTGCAAATCTATTAGTATAATACTATTAGTATAATATCTATTAGTATTATTAATTATTATTAATATCTATTAGTAATCTATTAGTATAATACTTACAATTGCCAATTCTGTACTTAATCTGCCTAGGTACAATTCCTGAATCCGTAGTTCAATCAAAAATTTTAGAAATCAGCATAATAGAGATTTCAAAGAGAATTTTTCAGGCTGTAAATTAATATACAAATTGTAAGATACATCTTTGATAACTTTTGTTTTTATTTGTATTATTATAATATTTTTCTCAAGCTGGATGGAAACTTTTCTCATATTTATCATTCCAAAAAGACAGATACCATATGTTTTCCATATTTATCTATATAAACATGATAAGGAAATTTAAAACATAATTATCATATTTGCATATCATCAATACTCTAATTTATAAAAATTTGTTTTAGGAATGATTAAATGAACAGCACATCTATAATCTGGTAACAAATTAATTAGCCAAAAGTAGTTCCTATAGAACTTCATATTCAGAAATACAATGTTTTGACATTCATAGTACAAAAGATACTTGATTTTGACAGATATTTGCACTCAAAAAATAATTTCCAAGCAAATAAACAGATGTATACTAATATCAGAATTGAAAGGAGTGATTGGGATACGTTTTCAGGAACTAGCTAGATGAATTCGCCTCAAGGTAATGTATTTTATTTTAGCATTGGCATTTATATCACAGATTTTCTGTACTAGGCAGAGCAGAATATGCACATGTGTTATGTTCTTGTATGTACTGTAAAAGTTCCTTTCATTGACAATTTGATTATTATTATTTAAGTATAGAAAGTTTGAAAGGGTAAAATATTGAAGCTAGTTAAATTTGCAGCCTAGTAATCCTCTATAGCTATACAGTTTATTTTCTTACCTAAATCATGTGATAAGTTGTGTGGTTTGTAAACATGTAATCAATGATAATGTATTTTCCTTATAGTATTTACAATTTTTAGATTGTAATAAAGTATAATATGGAATGTGCTCATGATGGGCAGGATATTTGTATCATGTTTTATTTTCTTAGATTACTTCTCATGAAAAAGTATCCCAAATTATGAATGAAATTTGAATATAAACTTTTTATTCTGTTACTGAATAAGAAAGAATGATCAGTTGTCTAAAACAAAGCTATGGTTTGCCATTTTTAATTTCTATATGACACTGATCTCCCTACTCTGATGATCTCTTACAAAAGATCAAATCATTCCTTTAAACTTCATCAAAGTATAGCAACATGATTAAAGCAAAAGTGTTCAAAACAGTACCTTCACTGGAAACATCAGTTTTACCTGGGAACTTATTAGACATGCAATCTTTGAAGTTCTACCCAAGACCCATTAAAACAGAACTTCTTGAGTTGAGTCTCATAAATTGGTAATTTAATAAGCCCTCTAGGTGATTCTGACATATGCAAAAGTGATGTTTTCAAATAAATACTAGAATACCATAGAGGGCTTGACTAGGGCAATGAATAGTAGATCTATAGATGCAAGGTTGCCCAGCACCTGTGTACCCATAGAGTCTCAGAGAGCTACAGGAGTGTGACTGAATCCATATGGAAACAAAGGAGACTCTGAAGAACTAAAGCAATCTTATACAACAAAAACGAAACCAGAGGCATCACAATACCAGATTTCAAGACATACTACAGGGAAGTTATACTCAAAACTGCTTGATAATAGCACAACACCAGATGGGTAGACCAATGGAACAGGGTAGAAACTCCAGAAATCAACCCACACCTCTACAACCAACTTATCTTTGAGATGGGACCACAGTTTCTTCAACAAATACTGTGGGGAAAACTGGATCTCTATATGCAAAAGTATGAAGCAAGACCCCTACCTCACACCTTACACAAAAATCCATTCAAAATGGATCGTAGACCTAAATCTATAAGCTGATACCATCAAATTATTAGAGAACATTGGGAAAATCCGGTAAGTCATTGGCATATATTCTATAAGGTCTTAATAGATAATATACATTTAATTACAAATGATAATGAGTCTTTACATATAAAAACTATATAAATGATAAGACAAGTATTTTATTAAAATAAGTTCAGTTTTTAAAATTTAGTTAGCAGCATGAGGGAATTTTGCCAGTGATAAAGGGGAAATAAAAGTTAGCCTCAAAATTTCAGACAGCATAACACATGAACATGCTCTTTTTGTTATTTCCCTTTAACTCCCAGAGCTCCTTTCCCCTTTATGATGTCACTTCTCAACATCACTAATTGGAATTTATAGTACTTAAGTCTTGGCAACTCTTAGGTGGGGGAAATGTCTGTACCAAGATTGTAAGTCTTCTTGTCAATTTTTTTTTGTTTCAAACTGAATGAAATATTATAGTTAGCCTGATGTTTGTTCTCTTTGTCGTGAAGACATGATTTTTTTATTTTTATTACTCTTTATTATTATGCCATTCCTAAGCAAAAGTGAATGTATTTGGGCAAACATGCATTCTCAAGCAATATCATACGTTGTTTTGATCTAATACTTAGCTAATCCATACACTTCAGCAAAATAGATACAAGGTTTTAGATGAGTCTTCTTAAATGTCAGTATTGTTTCACTTATCAGATTGTATTTTGGGGAATATGAAACAAAATTGTTCATCATTCTTTATTTGGGTGGGAAACAATCGAGTCTCTCGTCTCCCCAGGGACCATTTGCAAGAACACCAACCAAAAGCTAGTTGTACCCCCTCGAGAAATACTGAGTATGCAAAAGTACTTCCTACTGTAAATTATCAAAACATAAAAGTTATATACTAGTGGTTTATTTATGCTTAGTTTGTGAAATATTAAGCCTTTTTACTGTAATGTAAATTTAAAATGTTATCTCAAAAACTAAAAAAAAGAAGGGGGAGAGGAAAGAAAGTGGGAAGAAAGCGAGAAGTGAGGGAGGAAGGAAGAGAATATCATTATGTTCTCAGAAGTGAACCTAAAAACATGTTACATCTGTTAAAAACTAATTTAAAATTAAAACTAAACATTTTTAAGGAGAAAAATTTTTCAGTAGGTCAATCTTTTTATGGATGGCATGGAACAAAGGTAAATGATTAAATTTTTAGACATAACAGTAATTGTGACTGGCTTATATTCTTAGACTACTCTTGAAGGGAAGATGAAATGTATGTCCCGAAAATAAGTGGTTGGCATTGTTGCACAACTGGTTTAGCCACTGCCTGATATACAGGCATTCTACTATATCAGAGCACCAGTTCACGCTACTGCTGCTTCTCTTCAGATTGAGATCCTGGCTAATGCACCAGAGGAAGGCTGCAGATGATGGTCCAAGTACTTGGGCATGTGGAAGACCTGGATGGAGTTTTGGGCTCCTGGCTTTTGCCTGGCCCAACTCCAGCTGTTATGGCCCTTTGAAGAATGAAGCAGTGGATGAACAATCTCTCAATCTCTCTGTCAACTCTACCTTTAACATAAAATAAATCTGTAAAATATAAAAAGTAACTTCCATAAACACTGGTATCTAGTTTACTCTAAAAAATCATTGTTTTTTTAAACAGATTTATTTACATATTTGAAAGGCAGAGCTAAGAGAAAGGAGGACACACACACACACACACACACAGAGATGGGGGGACAGGGGAGAGATCTTTCATCTGCTGCTTCATTCCCCAAATGTCTGCAATGGCTCTGGCTGGGCAGAGCCAAAACTAGAAGCCAGTAGCTTTCTACAGTACCCCATGTGGGTGCAAGGGCCAAGCACTAAAGCCATCTTCCACTGCCTTCCCAGCTACATTAGTAGGGGAATGGCTCTGAAATGGAGCAGCCAGGAAATGAAACTTCACCCACATGTGATGCCTGCATTACAGGTGGTGGCTTAACTGTCTGTGCCACAATGCTGGTAACTTTATTCTTTGTTTAAAGGGCAATTTTAAGTAAAGGTTTGTCTGTATTTGTCACGATCAAAGTCTCAGAGACTTAATTACTATTACACAGTAATCTGTGTACTGGCATCAAAAATGGCAGAATTATACTACATCTTAACTTGTGATGCTTAAACACCATAAACATCAATAGCATTATTGAGCTTATGAACATTTCATGGCTTTCTGAGAACAACAATGGTTAAAAATACATTTTTGATCTTTTGATTATTTCTAAGTTGTGTTATTGTAGAGGATTCCTCAAATTCTCTACTTACTGTAGAAGGAAAGTGTGATAGAATTAATAATTAATTGGCCTCTCCATAAGCCAATGAAGCATACACAAAAATCCTTAGCAACAAATTATTGTATTTCCCTGGATTGAAGTGAGGATTCCTTTTATAATTTATTTATTCATTTGAAAGGCAGTGTGACAGAGATTGAGGGTGGAAAAGAGAGAAAGAGTGAGAGATTTTTCCATCCTTTGGTTCACTGCCCAAATGGACACAACAACCAGGTATAGGCCAAGCTGAAGTCTAGTGCCAGGAACTCCATCCATCCTGGTTTCCCTCATGAGAAGCAGGGACACAAGTTTTTGGGCCATCTTCCAGGTTCATTACTAGGAAGCTGGATTGGAAGCAGCGCAGCTGAAACTCCAACCTGTGTCCTGATAGGGGAAGCCAGCATCACAAGTGGTGGCCTTATCACTGGGCTACAATGCTGGCTCCAAGTGAAAACTCTTAATTCTTCAACACAGAGAATCTAAAGAGTAGAACATAATTTTCGATTCTATTTGTCATTTATTTTAATTCTTCTGAGAATGTCTCAGGCATTGTTTTACACATAATGCTTCTATGATTGTAGCTTGTAGCTGATAAAGAAAATTTTCCTCCTTGATCTTAGTTTACCTTCTTCCCAATTTATTTGTCCTCAATAACTTGGCTCCATCCAAACCTCAATACTCCACAAAATATTTTCATCTTTTGCCTTAAATTCCAATTGAGATTGTACTAATCAACTCAGTTCTTCTGTTTCTTAAGATTTACTTTATCTGTCTATCTATCTATCTATCTATCTATCTATCTAAGAGAGAGAGAAAGAGAGAGAGAGAGGGAGAGAGAGAGAGAGAGAGAGAAATCATCCATCTATTAGTTCACTTCTCAGATAGCCACAAATAAACTCAGACAGGGGCTTCATATAGGTCTCCTGCATGGGTGGCAGGGGCCCAAAAACTTGGAACATTTTCCATTGCTTTTCCCAGGCCATTACCAGGAAACTGGATTGGAAGTGAGGTAGCCAGGATACAAACCGGCACCAATATCGGTGAATGGATAAAATTGAATTTGAATTCTTTAAATTTTAAATATATCATTTTATCAAATAGTTAAAGCTAAAATGTGTTATTTTAGTGCTGAGGTATTTTGTCATTTCATTTTAGATCTTATCATCTTATTTGGGGACACTGTGAAACCCACAGAGGGCCTTCATGCTTCTGTTGTATATCTGAGCACCATAGTTTCCTATGCCTCATTTAATAAATTCATAGAAAAAAAAGTCATTCATGGGTTATACGACTTAAGTCTTACATTTTCCTCTGAATTTGTTAATGTTTAATTATTTTCCACTTTGTTTATTTGCTTGCTGTCATGATAGGATTGTGTTTTACTGAAAAGAAACAGAAAAAATAATCTGGATATAGAAATCCTGTCCACCCCCCAAAAAATGGAAGTGAGAGAGTTTACTTCAAAAATTTGGTATCATACAGAGTACCTAAAATCTGAACATTTAAACTTCCAATCTAATCTCATATCTGCTATACATTTTACATTTTTGTCCCCCTAAGAAACAGAATCCACCCTTAACATACTGGTCTAGGTGTTCACAATGATCTGAGCAAGAGCTCATCAACCTTGATATGCATGAGGGTTTGTCAGCCTTGACACTACTACTGACATTTGAGGCTCAATAATTCTTTGTTAGAGTAGGAAGTGGAAGGTCTTGGAAGAGGAAGGTTGACAGCATCATGTGGATTGTAATATGTTTAGCAGCTTCGCTGGTCTTTACTTGCTAAATACCAATGTCATTGTACTGGGCCTGTTCGGTGTGCATATATACCCACACACGCACATGTTACAGATAATCAAATGGCCTTCAGTTGCAAAATGTCCCTAGGCAAGAACTTCAGAATTCATCCATTCTAAGAAATACTGATCCAGAAAAATGCTAGAAAATTTTAACTCACATAGAGCCATTCCTCAACAAGACAATAACCAGGGACAGTTGACCTTTGTCTTTATACAAAGATCTCTAGAAAATACAATAAAGGTGATTTAGTCACTGAAATTTCTTGAAAAAATTTCTGCCAAGATTTTTATGGTCTTATTTTTCTTATAGTTGACTTAGAATCACAAAAGCTTGACAATGCTGGCAGGATACCTGTTTTTTTCACAGAAACAGGAAATCTGTGGACAATTCACAGGAACTAGGGAAGATATCACATTCTTTAAATCCATTGGGCTTTTAATTTATTCAACGTTTTGAATACTCTAGCAGAGATAGTGAATGATAAGTAATTGGAAATATTTCATCCTAAAAGAGAAAATAAATGTAAAATACGTTAAATATTTATTCCTTCAAAATTTTTTCTGGTGGTAATATAGGAATAGATGTTTTTCTTAGATAAACCAAAGTTTTAATGTTTCTCCATTGGGAATTCTTTTTTATTTAAGGAAACCTAAATCTAGTTTCTCTTTCTAGAGTTGCAAATCCATTACATTTCATGTTGCTGACAATGCAAAACCTTTACTTCAGAAAACTCAGAAACTGAGAATGATTTTGAAATGATTGGATGGACAGGTCTGAAATGAAGACAGATTTGGGGTGTTACATTCCACTTCATATTAGTTAATATGGGATATAAATTATTGCATTTCCTTACCTATGTCCAGAGCCCTTAAAGCAAGCACTAGTCACAGTAGGAAAAAAACATTTTTTTTTCATTTGTTACAATTTTTTTTCTTGTAGAAGTTAATGATTAAATTAGATCTCGGTCCTGTCAGATTTAATTTTTAAGAATGGAAATTCATTTACATTCATATGAAGATATTTGTTCAAATTTAAAAAAAAAACAAGAGATACACTATCAATTTGCTATTTTGTGTAAGACAGTTTGTCAGTTTTTTATAAGAAAAGGAAAAAAATAGGATCCGAATATACAATAATCCAGAGAATTTGTTGAATTCAGGGAGGAAAAGGTAGAAATGCTTTCATCAGCAGAATTAGATTTGGGGAGAAAGATGGAAAATTCTATCTAGTCTAAAAGGTGAACTGATTTAATTGCTTAAGACATAAAATTTGCACAGTGAATGGGGACTAGGGTATTTAGTTCTCTGCTATTTGGAGGTCTTATAAATTATTCTCAGCAAAACAGCAAACAACCAAAGTTTATTTCACTGTTACTACCTGAAACTTAACCAACCATAACAAACATATAGACATATGACCACAATGGGAGTTTGTGTTGTGCCATATTGCTGTCAGTTCACCCTGCCTCTCCTAACAGATGGCTCTTCAATTATAATTCTACAATGACAGTTCTGCCAATTCTTGAAATGCTTATAAAGAAATACTACAGCATTTCTCTTATATCCCTGTATTTTTCTTGCATTTTAATGGTTCTGACTCATTTATACTACTACTTTATGCATTTCAGTAATTCATTCCTTGTAGTATTCCATTACACGTTTATATTACACTTAGTTTATCCATTCTCCTGTTGATGCGCTCTTGGGTTTATCTTAGTTTTGGGGTTACGAGTAATGTTGCTATAAACATTTAAGTCCATAGACCTCTCTTTCAGTGGAAATACATATGTATTTTGCTTTGTTCCTTTTTGTCTTTAATTACTCTGAGTAAAATTTTTAGTTTTCTTTTCTTTATATTTTATTGAAAATTATAGTATTTTATTGAAGTAACATCTGCCAGTGCTTCTGATATATAAAAGTTAATTCATACTCATAATTAGAACTTGTATCAGAAATATTATTACATTCATTAGGTGACCCTAAAAATTCTTTTTTGTTGATTTACTGAATATTCTAATTTTCTAATCATTTTATCTTGAATAAAAATAATTTTACTTCTTCCTTTTACTTTTTGATTTTACTGCCTCATGCAATAAAATGGAGAGCATGGAATACAACATTGAACAGAAATGGTAGAGAAGAATATCTTTGCACGATTCTGATTTATACTGGAAATAGTCAATATTCCACTATTAAGTTTGATTTTAACAATAGGTATTGTCTAGACATTTTATCGATGTCAGGAATATGTTTTCTGTGTCTAGTTATCTCAGAAAGTTTCAGTTCTAAATAAGTCTTAAGAACTGCCTGCATATACTAAGATGGTCAGATGGCTATAATTTTTCATGTGGAGTGGCTGTGTTTGTTGATTTTATATTGAATCAATCTTGCAGTCTGGAAAGTGCACTTCAATGGTATGAAATATTGGCCATTTTTATATATTTCAGTAAGATGTATTAAATTTTAAGGAATTAATTGTCCATTCATGTAGGGATATCTTTAATATTCTTTTATGGTAATGACCTTATAAGATGTGTTGCTATTTACGTTGGTCACAAAATGATTTGGAATAGCTGTCCCTCTCCTTCTTTTATCATGAAATTTTTCAACTTTTTAAAAATTTTTTGTTTAATTTATTTGACAGATAGGGTTAGACAGTGAAGGAGAGAGACAGAGAGAAAGGTCTTCCCTTTGTTGGTTCACCTCCCAAATGGCCGCCAAGGCCGGAACTATGCTGATCTGAAGCCAGGAGCCAGGTACCTCTTCCTAGTCTCCTACGTGGGTGCAGGTGCCCAAGCACTTGGGCCATCCTCCACTGCTCTCCCAGGCCACAGCAGAGAGTTGGACTGGAAGAGGAGCAGCCGGGACTAGAACCTGGAGCCCATATGGGATGCCAGCACCGCAGGCAGAGGATTAACCAAATGAGCCATGGCGCTGGCCCCTCAAATTTTTCAACTATTAATGTAAAGAGTTAGAGCACTGATTTTAAACTTTTTTGTTATGTAAAGAATTAAAGTTATATATTATCTCCTACCATTCAGCAAATTTGATAATTTTTGATGTATTATGCTATTTTCCAGTTTATGTTTTTATAAGTTTGCATTACGATTTCTGTTTGAGGATTGCTTCTTTGGAGGAAGCTGCTTTTTAAAAAAGATTTATGTAGAAAATTTGTTACTGATTTCTAATTCAATCCGTGGATGATCAAGAATATGCTGTACAGGGGCTAGTGTTGTGGAGCAGCATATTAAGCTGACACTTGTGCTGCCAACATCCCAGTGTCAATTCAAGTCTGGGCTTCCAATCCAGCTTTCTGTTAATTTGCCTGGGAAGGCAGTAGAACACGGCCCCTGCCACCCTTGTGAGAGACCAGAATGGAGTTCCTGGCTCCTGGCATCAGTCTGGCACAGACTTATATATTGAAACAACTTGGGGAGTGAACCAGCAGGTGGAAAATCTCTCCATCATTTCATCTCTCTCTGTCACCCTGCCTTTCAAATAAATTAATAAATGTTTTTTAAAAGTTTATGCCTTGGAAGTTAATGGATAATGCCCAGTCAACCATTTTGAAAATATGAAGTTTAATAGCATTGCATAATGAATTTGAGATATTTTCTCTTCCAGAACATTTGGAATAGAATAATCCATAATGATAGCTGGGCATCAAAATTCCTCAGTAGTATAAATATGTACTTTACTTAGATCCAAGTTTAGAGATTCAGGTTGAATGAGATGAGTAAATTTGGTGTAGGTAGTCATTTAAGAAAACCCTTGGCTACATAATTTACTGGTGAATTTATTCTATATTTTACTCAATTCAAATTTTATGGAGTTACAATAATGTTCCAGGTTGCATGTTGACAATTTCATTCTTTAATCATGTACCAATATTCTATATTGTATGTACTTAATTATTAATTTTATGAAGTATGTTTTGTGTGTATGTATTTGAAGGTTTCAAATTAATTCATAATCAACAGAGTCTATGTCTGCAAAATAGTAGAACAATATAGAATAATAATTCTCTAGCATATTTTTACTATGGATTTCCACTACACATTTTAAAAAGATCATAAAACTACATACATATAATAATAAAATAATGAGAACTTATGAATGGAAAATAACTTATAACACAGTTCCATCTCTCAGATTTCCCTTCAGAATAAAAAGAATGACATTCCACATCAATACTTACAATGCACACACATAGACACACTCAAAGGCACATGGGTATGCCATTTGAAGATTAGGCTTGGTGACGTTTTGAGAATATATTGAGAACCTACTTTACTTTACCAGATAATTTGTAAAGTGATATTTTGATATAATGTCGTTTTCAGGAGAGCTTGGAGCATGAATTGGTTAACATAATTATGTTTTCGTATGTTAAAGTTTACATTGCCAAGTTTATTACATTAAATCTATTCTATTTATTACATTATTTTAGGTTATCATTTTAAAAGTTGAAAAGTGGTCAATGGAGATAGAAATACAGATGTAGAAATTTTAAGACATTCATTTCAGATAAGGCAAATTGGTTACATAGATTTTTTGATAGCAAGTACTTATGTATAATGATTATTAAATATCCTCATCTTGTATAAGTTAATTAAAACTTCTCCCTTTTATTTTATAGCCAAAAAATAAACTTCGGGACATATGATAATTATATTCCAGGTAAGAAACACTTTGATATTTATAATAAAATGTACATGATTAATTTTATGGACAAGTGATTATCATCCTCCATACAAAGTGCAAAGCAAAAAAAAAAAAAAAAAACACTGCCATGGAATATAATTAATTATCAACATTTATTCTCCAAGGAATCATTTCAGGGGCTTAATAAATATATTTCATTTTTTATTTATTTTTTTTTTTTCTTTCTTTTTTTTTTTTTTTTTTTTTTTTTGACAGGCAGAGTGGACAGTGAGAGAGAGAGACAGAGAGAAAGGTCTTCCTTTTGCCGTTGGTTCACCCTCCAATGGCCGCCGCGGCCGGCGCGCTGCGGCCGGCGCACCGCGCTGATCCGATGGCAGGAGCCAGGAGCCAGGTGCTTTTCCTGGTCTCCCATGGGGTGCAGGGCCCAAGCACCTGGGCCATCCTCCACTGCACTCCCTGGCCACAGCAGAGGGCTGGCCTGGAAGAGGGGCAACCGGGACAGAATCCGGCGCCCCGACCGGGACTAGAACCCGGTGTGCCGGCGCCGCTAGGCGGAGGATTAGCCTAGTGAGCCGCGGCGCCGGCCAAATATATTTCATTTTTTAATGTAAGAAATATTAAGTAAATATGTTCAGCCATATAAAATAAATACAATAACATTTTAGTAATCATAAAATTAGATAATCTTTGTTTAAAGATTTATGTATTTGAAAGGCAGAGTTAAAGAGAGGTAGGGGGGAGAGAGATAAGAGAGAGAGAGAGTGTGTTCCATCCATTGGTTCACTCCCCAAATGGCCGCAATGGCCAGAGCTGGGCTGATCCAAAGCCAGAAGCCTGGAGCTTCTTCCAGGTCTCAGACATGCGTACAGGGGCCCAAGGACTTGGGCCATCTTCTACTGCTTTCCCAGACCATTAGCAGAGAGCTTGATCAGAAGTGGAGCGGCCAGGACTTGAACTGGTGCCCATATGGATGCTGGAACTGCAGGCAGCAGCTTTACCCACTACGTCACAGTACCGACCCCAAAATTAGATAATCTTATAGTTGAAAAGCAACATAGAAATTAGATAAATAACTTCTCACTCATGTCAGGAATCTCTTCTACTACCTTCCTGAAAGACTGTTTCCATCTTATAATTGGCCAAAAATCTCATTACTGGATGAAGGAAATGTAGAAATGTACTTAATTTTGAAAGACTTCAGAAATCAGGTGTTTTCCCACTTAGAGCTTAAAAATGACTTTCATTCTCTTCCCCAGTGATTCTGACACTGTTTCTAGGTACTCACAGGAAAAGTTCTGTTTTTTCTTACATAAACTGGCACTGCAAATGTTCAAATGCAGTGATGAGAAATCTCACTGTCCTCATTGGTAACTTAAATATCCTCTATCATTTCTGTTCTAATTTCTGGGTAACTTGTCTATCTTCTTTACATATGTCACATATAATAATGCAGTTGTTGAATATATAGCACTTACTCTTGTAAATTGGAAAATGACTACTGACAAGGATTGTGGGGTGTTGAGTTAAAGCTTTAGTACTCCAAATTATTACCAAGTACTGAGTATTTTATAGGCATTGGGCTAAGTACTTTGGGGTTACAGAAGTATTTATGCTTTTCTGCTTTCAATAGAAGGAAAGGCTCAGAATATCACAAATATAAAGATTTAAGATGAAGTGGTAATACTGTTTCCATTTATATCATAACATATAGTTATGAGTAAAACTGGTTAAGATAGAAAAATCAACTTTTTCTCTCATATTGATAACAGAATTTCAAACATTACTAAATGAATGAAGCCATAATTTTAATAATTTGTTTCTTTATTTACATGATATGTATTGTACTATAATTCATTTCTGATGCATTTCTAACTTCCCCAAATTATATATTTTATGTCTTTTATTTTAGTCAGTGAATTAAGCAAAAAATCATGGAATCAGCAACACTTCTCCCTGGCATTTCCCAAACCACAGCGACCAGGAACAAAAAGAAGATCAAAACCTTCCCAACTACGAGACAACACAGCTCCTGTTAGTATTTAAAAATGATATAATTATTAGTAATAAGAAATTACTTGTTAGAGATCAGCTTATTATGTCTAATTATATGTGTTATAGATCAGAACTGACTGACAAAATTTCTGGGATGGTGGAAATCACATTTGAAATGAGGCTAGTGCAACTGAGGCACTGAATTTTACATGTGAATTAAATTTAACTAAAGTAAAGGAAATTATGTTTACACATTGCTGATAGATGCCATTATTTGACAGCACTGTTGAAAATAATCCAAATCTAATGTGGGGAAAGTCGATATATTACTTGAATATCTTTGTATACAATTGATGCCCCCGCCCAATATTTCAAATTGACTGTTAGCAACTCCACATTATAGAAAAGGTGTTCAAGGAACAGAGAAACTCAAAAATCCTAATGTTATGGTTTCACTCAGGAAATGTTCCCCAACAGGCACACTCCCGTTCATTAGAGTCAGATTTACTTTATTTTTTTATTTTTTATTTATTTTTTATTTTTATTTTTTTGACAGGCAGAGTGGACAGTGAGAGAGAGAGAGAGAGAAAGGTCTTCCTTTGCCATTGGTTCACCCTCCAATGGCCGCCGCGGCCGGCGCACCACGCTGATCCGATGGCAGGAGCCAGGTACTTATCTTGGTCTCCCATGGGGTGCAGGGCCCAAGACTTGGGCCATCCTCCACTGCACTCCCTGGCCACAGCAGAGAGCTGGCCTGGAAGAGGGGCAACCAGGTCAGAATCCGGTGCCCTGACCGGGACTAGAACCCGGTGTGCCGGCGCCACAAGGCAGAGGATTAGCCTAGTGAGCCACGGCGCCGGCCCCAGATTCACTTTAAAACTTGATGAGATTTCAATGCTTCATCTGTTCCTTGTAATTTTCTTAAAATTCTAAGAAACAGAAAATAGGCTGGTGCCACGACTCACTAGGCTTATCCTCCTCCTGCGGCGCTGGCACCCGAGTTATAGTCCCGGTCAGGGTGCCAGATTCTGTTCCAGTTTTTCCTTTTCCAGTCCAGCTCTCTGCTGTGGCCTGGGAAGGCAGTGGAGGATGGTCCAGGTCCTTGGGCCCTGCACCCCCATGGGAGACCAGGAAGAAGCATCTGGCTCCTGGCTTCAGATTGGCGCAGTGCGCGGGCCACAACCTGCAGGCCTTAGCGGCCACTTGGGGGGTGAACCAATGGAAAAAGGAAGACCTTTCTCTCTCTCTCTCTCTCTCTCTCTCTCTCTCTCTAAGTCTAACTCTGCCTGTCAAAAAAAAAAAAAAAGAATTAGAAAATAGACGTTTCCCAACACTTCTGGAACTGCCATGAAATGGAAAATGTTTAAAGAAATGTTTTTGGGGCCAGTGTTATAGGGGTAAAGCAACAGCCTGTGATGCAACCATATGCCAGTTCAGGACTTAGCTGTTCCACTTATGATCCAGCTGCTTGTTTATGTGCCAGAGAAATCAGTGGAAGATGGACCATGTGTCCATGTACTACCACCCAAGTGGGAGACCAGGAAGAAGATCGAGGCTCCTGGTTTTCTCCTGGCTCAGTCCCGGCCTTGGCAGCGATTTTAGAGTAAACCAGTGGATGGAAGATGGAAGAGGAAATCTGTCTCTTCCTCTCTCCCTCTGTAATTCTACCTTTCAAAAATAATAATAGTAAATTTTAAAAAATTTTTTTTCACAAAATAATCCTCTCATCAACTCTTATTTATTTTAGGAAACAAATCCCATCAATATTGATCAGTGTTCCTTTCCTCCTTTCCTTGATTTATTTTTCTATTGTTTATCAATTCTACAAAGTAGCTCTTTGTATCATGTACTTTTGCAAATCTTTGGTTAGGAATTTTAAATAAAAGGCATCACAGCCTGTAATGAATGTCACAGATACCATTATTTTAGATACTGATCTAATGATAATTGATATCCTGCTAAGTATTAGGAAGAATTTTAGGTTTTTCCTTTAAGTACAGTTGGAATTCTAGACTCTTGGTTTTGTCCTGGACCAACCCCCATCATTACCGGCATTTAGGAAAAATGGCAGTGGATAGAATATTCTCTCCCTCTCTCTCTCTTTCTCTCTCTTATTTTTTTAAAGATTTATTTATTTATTAGAAAGTCAGAGTTACACTCAGAGATAAGGAGAGACAGACAGAGAGAGAGAGAGAGAGAGAGAGAGAGAGAGAGAGAGGTCTTCCATCCACTGGTTCACTCCCTAATTGGCCACAACAGCCAGGGCTGTGCTGATCTGAAGCCAGGAGCCAGGAACCTCTTCTGGGTCTCCCACACAGGTGCAGGGACTCAAGGACTTAGGCCATCTTCTACTGCTTTCCCAGGCCATAGCATAGAGCTGGATGGGATGTAGAGCAGCCAGAACTCGAACTGGTGCCGATGTGGGATGCCGGCACTGCAGACAGCAGTCCTACCCACTATCAGCCTCAGTGCTGGCTCTCTCTTTCTATCTTTTCCTCTCTCTCTGCCACCCTACCTTTTGAATAAATGCATATATATAAAAATTATTACACCAAGAACATAATAAAATATGAAATATATAATTTATTCAATATTTATCAAAATATAAGGTATTGAAATTAGAATATATTTGGCATGTGTTAATATAGACATACTCACAACTTGTCCATAATTTTCTAACCAATATTTCAGGTAATTGATGAAGAAAAATTAAGAAGTCGTAAACAACCATTATGGATGCACCGTTCTTTAATGAGAATTTCTGAAAGACCATCTGATTATTTAGCTGCTCGGAGGAAGCCTCCACCCAAACCAACTCCTTCCCCAAAGGGTGCTGGGGAAAAACCTTCATCCCCAGAAGTAGGTAAGAAAGAAAAAGATGACAAGAAAGCACAGAAGGAAAAATCAGATTCAGAACCAGAATTAAAAGGTAAGCCAGATGCAAAGAAAGACAAAGGTGCAGCTAAAGATGAAACAGGAGCTACAAAAAAAGATAAAAAAGGCTCAAAGAAGGACAAGGGTTCAGTCACAGAGTCTGGAGAAGAAAAATCAGATTCAAAGAAAGGTAAAAAGCAATCAAAGAAAGGCAAAGATTCGGCCACAGAGTCTGAAGGGGAAAAGCCAGATTCAAAGAAAGATGATAAAAAAGGTAAAAAAGACTCAAAGAAAGGCAAGGATTCAGCCACAGAATCTGAAGGGGAAAAGCCAGGTTCAAAGAAAGATGATAAAAAAGGTAAAAAAGACTCAAAGAAGGGCAAGGATTCAGCCACAGAATCAGAAGGGGAAAAGCCAGATGCAAAGAAAGATGACAAAAAAAGTAAAAAGGAGCCCAAGAAAGGCAAGGATTCAGCCACAGAGTCTGAAGATGAAAAAGGAGGTCTAAAGAGAGATGCCAAAAAAAGTAAAAAAGAGACCAAGAAGGGCAAAGACGCGCCTACAGATTCAGAAGCTGAAAAGCCTGGTGAAAAGAAAGATAAGGAATCAAAGAAAGGTGATGAAGCAAAGGACGCCAAGAAAGACGCAAAGAAAGATACAAAGAAGAAAGACAGTAAAAAGGACAAGAAGGATGAAAAGAAGCCTGGAGAGGCAGAGGGCGAACCAAAGGATGACAAGAAAGGGGCAAAGAAAGATGCTGGAGACGCAAAGAAGGATGCAAAGAAGGGGGGGAAGAAAGATACCAAGAAACCCAAATAGGTCTTATAAATAAGGATGCAAACTGAAGGAACAATTCAAAATCATAATCAACAATAGAGTTTAGCGTTTGAATCCAAAAGCAACAGTGAAAAAAGAAGGTTCAAGAAATCAGTCAAATCATTTTTAAAGGACAACAAAGAAGAAGAATACAAGGAGGACTCAGGACAAGATATATAAAACATGAGAAAGATGTTAAGATATATTAAGGGAATTCATTGAAGACTTTAAAGGCACTTAGGCTACCTTTGGGGATATGAAATATGTAACAAAAATTCCTAGAAAGGATAAACTAAGACTAATCAAGCAATGGTGTAGAAAATAATGACACCGACTCTCTGGATGCAAAAATATTTAAAAAAATCAATATAAGATTTTTCAGAAAATATCTGAGAAGGGATAAACTGTATCTATGAAATTCAAACAAAATCTCAAGCTGCATCCTTATGTTTCAATTAAGAACTAGAGGTGTCACAAAAAGAAATCAAATAATTTTCAGAAAATTGCTTTGAAGTAAATATGAATTAAACTTTCCTCATCAAACTAAAATGCCATTACTACCTTGTGAGTCAATACCTTCATCCCTGAAATTTAAACAATCCTATGTTCACAGTTTTTGAATATTCTACCTGCAAGACAAATGAAAACACTTGGTAAGTTCATTTTATTTTAATTCAAATTAAATTCAAAATAGTTGAACCAATTTAAAGTATTAAACTGACACTGTTTTCAAAATAGATCCATAATTTTGCAGATTTGCCTTTTTACTAAAATTTTATCAAGTTTGCATTTTCTCTTTATCAGAGATATTTGAAGAAGATGGAAATCTCAATAAATAAATGAAGTTTTTAAAAAATGTCAACGAAAAGTTTAAGGAAAGTACAGTTATTTATCATACAAACAAATTATGGTAATATGATGTTATGTTATATAATCATTATAACAATCATCAAAAGTCCATACTTCTTCACTCATTTCCAAATTCATGTAGACAATAGTAGCCAAATTCTTTTCTTGTGCAAATTACCAATAGATCAAACTTAAATGATACTTATGAAGGAACATTTTTGCTAAATTGATAAATATTAAAGTAACCCAAAATAACCAGAATATCACAGAGTATAAAAGAATATCTACATAGTATTATTTAGATATGGAAATCTTTAGCTTCAAATTTTTATAACTCAATATATTGAAGTCTGTTTTGATACACAAGTCAATAATGTGAAGAAAAATAAAACACAATAGAAAGTAAAATAAAACATCATTAAACTTCCCACCTAGTGGCAATTCATTCACTTCTAACTTAAAACATTCTCTGTAAGATAAACTCAACATTATTCCAGAAATTACTAATTTTCCTTCAACTTTATCATTTCCAGTATAAACTCTGGATTCAAGATAAAGATCGCTGGCACTAAAGAAAGAAGCCTCTATTCCACATATTATTAAAAGAATGTATATAGTTAGGTGTAGTGGCTTTGACTGATTATTGAGCATTGGCTCCTTTGCTTTGTGCATAAACAACCAAGGATCAGTGACTGTGAAACCACCTGTTTTATCTTGATCAGTTATACCAGCAGAGTGTCAAAACCTGCCTCTGTTTTCTCTCTCACCTCTGGTTACTACCTTGTTCTCCCACTTACTTATGGGAAAAACTGTATATGCAGTTCTTAAAAAAAAGTTTTCTTAAAACGTTGATATCTTTCTGAGGATTTAGAGAACACTAAAAGTATTCTTTTTCCTCTATAAAGGACCAATAAAAATTTATTTTTGGGACTAAAAAATTAGATTTTAGAATGTATATTAAGAGAACAATTGAGTTTCTACTTTTATTTTTCTAGTGAAATGACCTATGGTCACCAAGAGTATTCTTGTGGTCATATGCAATGGTAGTATTGTGTGTGTGTGTGTGTATACCCCAGTTCTTCTGTTCAATATATATAATTTTTCTCAGTTGTTGCATTTATTCTCATGATTTTATATGCCATTCTTTGCTGTTGAATCTTACATATAAGTCCAAACTTTTCCACTCAATTCGAAATCCAGATATACAAATAGTTAATCACCAATCTACTTGACTGTCTTCTAGGCATCTCAAAATTAACATGGCCTGAGGAGAATCCTTGATACTCCTCCACTGAACCAAGTCAGTAAATGGCACTGATATTCAATCTACGGCTTACTCCAAAATGGTGAGTTGTCCATAATTACTCATTTTTTATTCTCCTGCCTTTTAGCATGTCCAGATCCATCTGCCTCTAAAGAAATCTGAACTAGTATGCTCCATTAAATTTCAACTGTTTCTGCATAAGTCCAAGCAACCATTATATCTCACCTGGAAATAAAAGCCTTGTAAATGCAGGTGATTTCCTCTGCTTCATCTCTCACAACCACCCCACAACCCATTTTCCACATAGAAACCATTATATTTCTCCTCTAGCCCAAAACATTAATGCATTTATGTCAATTTTATCATGAACTTTTCTTTTGCTCTCGTTTAATATTAAACTAGTCACTATTTCTCAGATCTTATGTGGCACTGATTATTTTTGTCTCCATGCTGTTATCATTCTGGATTTCATGTTATATATTTAATTGCAGGTAGTCTTGTGATATTAAGCCTTCACACTTATTACCTCTTCCTAGAACTGAAATCTCCTAATACTTCACATTTCTGAGTTCTTCAAATGATTTATTCTCAGTTAAATTTTACATTTCCGAACAGTTTTAATTGGCTGATTTTTAGAGAGCTTTTAGTTTGTCAACAAAACTTATCAAAAGGTAAGGGGATTTCCATAATGTTTTTTAGAGAAGTTTTAGTTTTTCAACAAAAATTAGCAGAAAGTATGAAGAATTCCCACAGACTCCTTACCTATGTGGGTAGTTTATCAATGCTCCCCACCACAGTGATACCTTTGTTACAATTTATTAATTTACATTAATATATTATTATCATTCAAAATCCATTGTTCACAGGAATGTTCTCTCTAGGTTACATATTTTATGAATTTGCACAAATTTGTATCATAGTTCCACCATTATATATGAGCACACCTCAAAAGGTTTGTGGAAAATGAAATTAAAACAAAGGTTTTTTTTCGTACAATAATGTTTGAAATCAATGATTACTTCTTATATATTAACATTTTCCATGAACTTTTTGAAGATCCTTTGTAACGTGTAGACTCATTTCACTGTCCTAAAAATTCTCTACCTATCCCTTCTTTCCTCCCCCCAACTCTGGGCAACCAATAATATATTCACTCTCTCCACTGTTTTGGCTTTTCAAGAATTTCATGTAATTGAAATCATATAGTACTCAAGCAGAGCCTTCACAAACTGCCTCCTTTCATTAGTAATGCATATTTACATTTATTTCCTTTGTGTCTTCTTCATGGTTTGAAATCTCTTCTTTTTTTCACTTTGAGAAATATCTTACTGGCAGGTTGTACCATAGTTGTTGTTTTTTTTTTTAACTTTTATTTAATGAATCTAAATTTCCAAAGTACAGAATATGGACTACAATGGCTTCCCCCCCATAACATACCTCCCACCTGCAACCCTCCCCTTTTCCACTCCCTCTCCCCTTCCATTCACATCAAGATTCATTTTCGATTCTCTTTACATACAGAAGATCAGTTTAGCATACATTAAGTAAAGATTTCAACAGTTTGCTCCCACACAGAAACATAAAGTGAAAAATACTGTTTGAGTACTAGTTATAGCATTAAATCTCCATGTACAGCACACTAAGGACAGAGATCCTACATGAGGAGTAAGTGCACAGTGACTCCTGTTGTTGACTTAACAAATTAACACTCTTGTTTATGGCATCAGTAATCACCCTAGGCTTTTGTCATGAGCTGCCAAGGCTATGGAAGCCCCCTAAGTTCACCAACTCTGATCATATTTAGACAAGGCCATGGTCAAAGTGGAAGTTCTCTCCTCCCTTCAGAGAAAGGTACCTCTTTCTTTGATGACCCGTTCTTTCCACTGGGATCTCACTTTAGGTTTCCTTTAGGCTTTTTTTTTTTTTTCCCCAGGGTGTCTTGGCTTTCTGTGCCTGAAATACTCTCATGGGCTTTTCAGCTGGATCCACATGTCTTAAGGGCTGATTCTGAGGCCAGAGTGCTGTTTAGGACATCTGCCATTCTATGGGTCTGCTGTGTATCTCACTTCTCATGTTGGATCGTTCTCTCCCTTTTTTATTCTATCAGCTAGTATTTGCAGACACTAGTCTTGTTTATGTGATCCCTTTGGTTCTTAGTCCTATCATTATGATCAATTGTGAACAGAAATTGATCACTGGGACTAGTGAGATAGCATTGGTACTTTGAGAAATATCTTACTTGTAGGTTGTACCATAGTTTATTTAATTGATTATCTTTGTAGCTTTGAGGTTTTGAAAATAATGAATAAAACTGTTATATTACCACCTAACAAATTTTTGTTTTGTAAACTGTAAATTATTAATAATATACATATGAACTGCTACAAATATCTATTTGCAAGATTTTGGGGAACATAAATTTTCATCTCTGTTATGTAAATACTAAGGAACATGACTGCTATATGGTATAGTAAGAGTACATTTTGCTTTTTAAGACACTTCCAAATTGTCTTCCGAATTAGCTATACTGATTTGCATTTCTACCAGCAAAGAGTTGCTATTGTTCCACATCCTTGCTAAGTTTTGATGTTGTCAGTGTTTTCTATTTTGTTCATTCTGAGAGGTGTGTAATGGTATCTTGTTGCTTTAGTTTGCATTTCCCTGACAATATATAAAGTGGAGTATTTTTTCATATACTTATTTGTAGTTTTTATACCTTCTATGCTGAGGTTCATGATGAGCTCTTTGCCCATTTATTAATCAGGGTATTTGCTTTCTTATAGTTGAGTTTTAAGATCTTTTGTGTGCATTTTGGACAGCAGGGTTTCTTTTTTTAACTATGTATGCCTTTTGCAGATATTTTCTCCAAATCTGTAGCTTGTCTTTTATTCTAACCTTTAGATATAAAAATATATTTTAATGAATAAACTCAACCTTTTCAATTCTTGCTTTGCATCTTTTTAGACATAGCTAGGTGAAGGTCAACTAGATGTTTTCTTGTGTTATCTTCTAGAAGTATCAAAGCTTTGTGGTATTAGCTAATTTATTTTTCATTGAAAAGCAAAAATTATAAATGTTTTATATGATATATAACATCAAGTTTTGATATGTATACATCGAGTAATGGCTAAGTTATTTAATATACACATGTACATACATATTTAGCTTATTATAATATATAAAATCTAATTCCTCAGAAATTTTAAAGTATAAAATATGTTGTTGGCACCAGCTCATGTCCCAGAAGTTCTACTTCCAATTCAACTATTTGTAATGGCCTGGGAAGAGCAGCAGAGGGTAGCCAAAGTGTTTGGGCACATTCCACCTGGGAGACATAAAAGAAGCTCGTGGTTCCTTGTGGCCATCTGGGGAGTGAACCAGCAGATGGAAGATCTCTCTCTCTGGGTTCACTCTCACTCTGTTTCACTCTCTGTCTCCCTCACTCATCTCCCTCACTCTCTGTAACTCTTTCAAATAAATAAATCTTAAAAACATATGTAGTTATTAATTATAATCACCATATAATGTAATAGATACCTTGAACTTATTCTGTCTAACTGAAATTTTGTGTAGCTTGAACAATACCTCCCTGGTGAACCAACCCCCAGTCCGTGGCATCTACCACTCTACTCTCTGCTTCCATGAGTTACAAGTTTTCAGATTTCACCTATATTTGACAATGAGTGATATGTTTATGTCTATGCATGGTTCACTTAATTTTTCCTTGTTTTTCAGGTCCAACTATGTTGTCACAAATGACAGAATTCCTTGTATAAAAACTGTATTGCTTTTAACTGTGCATGTATACCACATTTTATTTACTCCCTCATTCTTAAAAGGATACTTGTTCATCTCATACCTTGAGGATTGTGAAAAATGATCCGATAAACATAGTAGTACAGATAATCTTCAATATACTGACTTCAGATGCACACTCCACAGTGTAATTGCTAGATTATATGTCAGCTGTGTTTTTTATTTGGGGAAATCTATATACAGTTTTCAATAATGGTTGTACTCATTTACATTCCTTCCAACACTGCAAATGATTTCAGATTTCTTTGCATCCTCACCAACACATGTTGTGTATTTTCTTTATAACCATCCTAATAGTTATGGAGCAATGTCTCGTTGTGGTTTTAACTTGAATTTCCTTAATTATTAGTGATGTGATAGAGGCCTCCCCAAGGTCAGACAGAGAAAAAGAAGCTTACCCTGGAAATGAAATATGCTCATTACCTGTTTGTCTATGAATGCTTCAACTGCAGTTATTATCTGCTTATATGCAACCATTTCCAGTTCTTGCTATTTCAGAGCAACAGTGTTCACTCTCAGACTTACAGCTCAGTATGTGTGTGGAAAAAAATCATCATCAGTAACTATGTACACATGTGTAGTATTGCGTCAATTCCTGTGGCTGCCATGTAGCATTAGAATATCCAAACAAATTATGCATGAAACTATGTAAGGGAGACAAAGAGGCTAAAACTATATATATATATATATATATATATATATATATATATATATATATATATGGAAATACCCCTTCTATGTTTCAGGCTCTGTCTTTTTGGAAACAAATCCAGTTGAGTATTATGATGGCAAATATATTAAGACTGATTCCTGGCCTTGGTGTTTTGTCTCTGTTCACATATCTGACTACAATGTTGAACATTTTTTTCATATACCTATTGGCCATTTTCAGATTGTCTTTTGAGAGATATCTATTCTGGCACTTTGCCTATTTTTATACAGGTTGTTTATATGTTAATGAGATGCTTTTATTTCTTAATTATTGGTATATTGTCTCCTTAAGATATCTGTGGTCTGAAAATATTTTCTCCTATTTGTCTTTTTACTCTGTTGTCCTTTGCTCTGCACAAGCTTTTTAGTTTGATGCCATCATGTTCGCTTATTTTTATATTGTTGCCAGG